GGTGGGAAAAAAAACAGCCTGAAAAAGGTCAAGAAACTCAGCTCAACCACGAGGACGCATGAACAATTCACACAATGAACATGCTAATCCCCCTCAGCAGCCACTCGTTAACAACTCAATGGAAAAAACCCTGCCTAACCCCCAGGAAGATACAGACATATTCTGACACCAAAACAACCAGCCAATCATTAACCCAACACCCCCACACACACGCACACACACCCTTCAGGCACCCTCGCTGATCTCTATAAATACCCATAAAAAGGGCCACATCACCCTGGGCACAGAGAGAACTGCTCCTGTCTGTGCTCCTGCCTGTGCTCCTGCCCTCTGAAGATGCTGGTCACAGATGCTGGCGAAACGTTAGGAAACAAAACTTCCAGAACACGGCCACATAGCCTGGAAGACCCACACCAGCCAAAAACAGATATTAACCAAAAAGTTGAGTTTAAAATGAGATTATGTAATGCCACATTGCTCCACTCTTTAGAGTTCTCTTCTTTTCTTTATATGCTAGTGTAATTCAGTTTGCATCGTAGATAAAAATCAGTATACAGAAGAATGTCATTAATACATCTGTTTTAGTAAATAATTTAGTCCCATCCTGTAATTAAATTATTTGCAGCATTTTTACCATTTTCAGAAATATAAAACTCATATTTCTAGTTAATATATGGAATAAAGCAAAGTAAAATGTACAGGTAGTCCTCACTTAGTGACCACAATTGGGACCAGCAACTCTGTCGCTAAGTGCCACAGTTGCAAAGTGGAAAATCACATGACCACATGACCATGATGGACTTATGACATCACTTCCCATTCGGTCATTAAGCAAATCACCACACTCATTAAGCAAAACATCACATGACCACAACTTGTAATTTTACTTCCATGTCCTCCATTAACTCTGCTTGTTGCAAGCTGGTTGCAAAGCACTCAAATGGCGATCAGGTGACTAAAGGACGCTGCAACAGTCATAAATGTGAGGACTGGCCACAAACCTGTTATTTATAGTGTTGTAACTTCGAACAGTTGCTAAGCGAGGCAGTCAGTAAGTAAGGACTACCAGTAGTCAGATCTAAGTTCCATTACATTACGGAGGTTAACTGGAGATTCAACTCCTTTGCCTCCTGTTGTTTTTACTGAGACTACAAGTAGAAAGAGAAGCAGCAGTAGCTGTTTCTTGTGCTTAGACCCAGGTGTATTAATTTGTCATGTAATCAAAACAATCTAAATAAAAATATACAATATATTAAAAAGGGCCTGCCTGAATTCCAGAATATTTCCATCATCAGAACAAATTCTCACCAACTAAGGCAGGGGTGCCCATGGAAGTCAAAAAGTCAAGATGGTGTTTGCAACTGTACAATCACAACTGCAGTGCATGTGAAAAAAAAATCTTCATTTTTTTTTGCCCCCTCCCCAGATACCCCAAAACTGAGGAATCAGAGCAACCAAGGTCAGAGGTCAAGCCAGGGGTGGAATAATTTTGGTATATTGGAGTGGATCAGGTATGAATGAAGATTACAGTGGAACCTTGAGTTACAAATTTAATCCGTTCCGTGACTCTGGTTGCAACTTGAATTGGTCGCAACACGA